TTCATTTCTGTCAAGACTCTTACCAGTTTACTCCCTGTCCCTGCTAACGTCCATCTGTACAAGCTCCACATCAAGAGGCTAACATGGACATGCAACATCACCGCACTGACGTGAGTGACATGGCTCTCTGTAGGGCTGCGTGATATATCAGCTGGTGATTGTTATTGTGGTATTGGTCACACTCTGATAGTGATATCACAGAAGACTTTGCATATGAGTATTTATCAAATCGTCATCCTGACCAAATCTAGTATATCATGAGGCAAACCAGAAGTCTTCAAATACAGATGTTGAATTCAGTTTACGGTCCTGGTATTGTGGTCACTGGTAGGTGTGACAGTAGGAGGACAATTAGTTACATCAACATCAGTTAATTACCCGTAATTACAAAATACAGGACCAGATTCGAAGATCTATGCTCTTAATTCATATATAGACTAGGGGCGATATCTAAAAATAATTAGCATGACATACGTTAGTTACCAAAATTGTGATTATTGATTAAACCCCCCCCTCCAAACAAGTACACATGGTCCACTACAGTTCTGTTCTACCTTCTATTCTATTTTAGCGTATATGCTTTTCCTGATCCTTAACTGTTTAAATAACAATTTTCAATGAAACCGCATATTAAATAATATAATCTTTTGAAAACGACTTCATCTGTCATTATAATAAATGTTACTGCAAAGACATGCATTCATGAGCTTCTTCTGATGCAGATTTATGGCGACTTGCATGCTAATAGCACTCCCTGCTGGAGAAACTTCAGACTGCAATGATTTCCAACGCCACGTCCACTTGCTTTACAAATGAAAAGGAGTTTTTCGTCATTTTAGCGATGGTTTTTCTTAATTCAACTGACCATAGGGACACTTTCAGCTGTACAGACAATAAAGCAAATTTTACTCATGCAGCAAAGACAGTGGGGAATGTACTCTACTGCAGGGGTGCACAACTGGTCCTGGAGGGGTGGTGGCCAGCACAGTTTAGTGATTAACCTACTCGAACACACCTGATTTCATTTATCTGTTAATTGCCAGGTTTAGAGAGTCTGCTTAAGTAGGGAAACCTCCAAACTTTGTTGGACACTGGCCCTCCAGGACCAGAGTTGTGCACACCTGCTCTACAGCATACTAATGGATTTTAAAGGCCCAATTATGACTCAATATTTTAACGGCAAAGGTGAACATAACATTATGTGTATATATTATTTAATGTTATTTTTTTACCTTTTTCTGATTCTGCTTCTCTCCAGGTTAGAACTAGCTGCTCTGTGGTAATATCCAGCCTTGAGCTTGTTTTTTTTACTACAGTGAGTCACACTGAAGCAAACTGATATTCGAAAGCATGACAACACTAATGTTCGTTTCCATGTACTTAAGCTAAACTTAACATAAACTAAGTATAAGTTGAGGAGCCATGTGATGAAGCATAGCACAGAATTCTTAACATCTCTCATGCTCTCTCTCTCTCAAGCAGAAATCTAGGCTTCTATCGGGGCGCACGCCTGCATAGTTCTTAAACGTGAACCCTAATTTACCAATATACTTACAAGTTGTTCAACGGTAAATTAGTCCACTTTTATTCTTTCTCAGTTCTTTTCCCAAAACTGTGATTATCATCTTATACTCATCGCCATTGCGTTACTTGTTCATCATCGACGAGATTACATCGCCCTATCGCCCAGGCCTAATGCAGACCTTACACAATTAAATCAGACCTAACGTTTACATTATTTTATGCAAACATTTTATTTTATGTAGCAGACACTGTTATCCAGAGCTACTTGCAATGGTAATTGAATATAGCATTTGGAGTCTAGCCCAAGGACTCATTGATAGAGCATTGGCATTCCTGTCTGGTGTTGTGGTGTTACCCACTATGCTGTCCGGGGATTCATGAAGGTGTCTAAGAAATGTTAGACACCATATTACAAGATGTGCCCAATGACATGATTTTTTAGTTTTTCGTATAATTTACATTAAATAGAATGTGATAACATGCTATAATGTGATGACAGATAGCAATGTATACATATAGCTGACACATCAAACCACTGATGTGCACCCTGCTAACTCTGCTCTCTTGTTGTGGACAAACTTTAAATGAGCTATGTAGGGACCAATCAGATTGTTGACACTATATGTTCAAAAGTTTATAGGCGTGTAGTTGATCATCTGTGTTACAATTGGTGCACTTTCAGCTAAGTGAATCAGGTAACTGATGATGTTAGGTCTATAGCCAAGGTATATGCTGTACATTCAACCCTAGAACACACATCGAGTGGGATAGAAGATGAATGTATATAAAATCCAAGAAATTATTATGTTAGATGAGGTTTTTTATCTTAGAAAACCATATTAAGCCACTTCTTTTCAACTGATTGGGCCAGCTATAATAAAAATGCAGGAATACTTTAAACTATCCATGGCTAGTGCAGATTTTCTGAAAATATGTACATTTTTACATAAAAGTCTTTTACTTTTTTAATTACTTTTTGTCAGTTTCAGGTAAACAACACAGAAATTTGGGTATGATGCAGCCCCCACAGCACCCCCACTTCCAAGTACAAGTGCATCTGTTTATAATAATCAGTTGTCATTCTGAAACTGAACCAATTAACAATTAAAAATTCCCCATATATTGGTAATAGCATATCGGCGGCAATATTACTGTGATTTTTTATGCATTTCTAGCTCTTATTGACTATTCAGGCCAGTTAGCTGAAGTTAGATGATTGCAAACCAGCCAGATTCCTTTCCTGCTTCTAATTCTCAGAGGCTTTTTTTATTAGGCTGCATGCAGACACACATATATCCGAACAGGGACCGTTAAGACACACATGCATGAATGCACAAACACACACTAACACAGTCTCACACAGCGCTCAGGCCTTCACTTTCACCATATTAGGATGTGTGTGAGACTCCTTCTGAGAGGCCTGGGATTTGTGAGTCTCAAGCTACAAGCAATCTGACATTCAACATAGGGCTGTCCAATGCAGGTGCAAATTTTGCCCTCAATATTCTCCTCCACATTTCCATATCAATGCCACAAGGTCACCAGGTCTCTCCAAAGAATTCTCCACTTCCTATTGTGTTGTTTGCCCTTGTGTGTTAAGACACGGCCCAAAACCCAAGCTGAATATTACGCTCCTCTGAAATTCAATGCATTGAGGCAGGACCTCGAGACATTCCCATATCCTCTGTTCTACCTATTGTGGTTTTCGCCCAAAGTCAAGCTGAATGACATCACGTCACTGCCAAAATTCACTGAACCCAAAAGCCAACACGCACGTCCTGCACCTTCAAACATAAGACATTATCATCAAAGTGCAAATGAGGACCCAAGAGTTTTGTCCTGTGTAAAACATCACCACGTCCTTCAACCCAATTTACAGCCATTTTTTTCAGCTATTAATCTAAAGGTGTTTTATTTAGTAACTACAATGAAATATTTAGTAACTACAATAATGTAATGGAAATTAGTTTGTACTTAAAAAATAATCTTAAAAATTATGCACGAAAGGCATAAATTAATCAGCAACTACTATGAATTTTTCAGTATCTACTTCAACTTATTCAGTTACCACTACGAATCATTCATAAACTACTACAAGCTATTTACTAACTATAAATTACTGGGCAACTCCTATGAATTATTCAGTAACTACTATCAATTATTCAATAATTAGAATACATTTTATTGAAAATTTACTGAATTTTAAATAATATAATTACTAAATTATAACATAACTACTATAAATTCTACAGTAACTACCATGACTTATAGTGCGAGCACTATAAATTATTCAATAACTACTACAAATTATTCAGTAACTGCTATTATTTATTTAGTGAATACTATACATTATTCGATAACTGGTATAAATTATTCAATAACTACTAAATTATAACATACAACTATTAAATTACAATATAACTACTTTAAATTATACAGTAACAACTATGACATTCAGTAAGCACTATAAATTATTCAATAAATTAATCATTTTTCCATAATTACTACAAATTACTCAATAAGTACTATAAATTATTTAGTAACTACTATAAATTATTTCATAACTAGTATAAATTATTAAATAATGACTAAGATCAATTATACAACTACTAAATTACAATATAACTACATTATACAGCAACAACTATGACTTATTCAGTAAGCACTATTATTTATTCAATAATTACCACACATTATTCAATAAATACTATAAAGTATTCAGTAACTACTATTAACTATTCAGTAGCTACTATTAACTATTCAGTAACTATAATTTCTATAATTGTAAATAATAATAATAATAATAATACTAATAATAAGTAAACTATAATTTCATGCCTGTTGCCCTCATATGTGGACAGTTCACAATATTTCATTAAGTAATGAATTGAAAGAAATCACATTTCTTAGTTTTTATCTTTAAATAAAAAAACTGCACAAAAGAGAGAGTAGTCATTCATAGTAGTTAGGAACTACTGTGAATTATGCAGTCACTGCTACAACACTAACAGACAGGTTATGTAGCAAACAAAGTGACAAATTTAAGTGTTGATAAAAACTAAAAATGAACAAAAGCACATAAAATTTTACTTATTCTACTACTGCTTTTAGTTATGCACAGTGCTTCTGTTCAGTTTTTTAGATAACAGTGTGTCATACAGTCTCAGAAACCACATGAGCAAGTCTGTCTGAGAATACTGAACAACTCGACCCGGTTTGAGGCGAGCGTGTGATGACTTCAGCCTGCAGTTTGTACGATGCTAAGTGGTGGCTATAAGCTTCCGTTACTTGTTAGCTACATTAGCCTTGCAGCCCTGGGGCAAAACCATAGAAGCAAACTTCAGGCACTAAACTTGTCCAGGCTGATCAACTACATTTGGGATGAGAGAGGACCATGTAAATTTGACTGCTGGACCACCTATCACTTTAAAGGGTTAAAGAAGGAGCTGAAAGGGGGGCACTCCTGCAACACTTGCCTTCTTTGAGCAGGTGGGTGTATATGAGCCAGAGCAGGAGCAGGCAGCAGAGTGAGGCGCCTCCTCCGGCGCAGAGAGCCCGCGTTCCAGACTGCATCCTGCGCCCCGTCCCGCGCCCTAACGCGCTCCCCCCACACACACCGCTGCTTCCATTGAGCTGTCCAGGGGGTAGGTAGATCCAAGGGAAGGCAAAGGGTGAGGGTGGTGGTGGAGGTGGAGAGGTGGGGGTCAGCGAAGAGTTGCTGCGTTATCTAGGTCACACAGTAGTGGTATCCTTATTTAGCATTACTTTTCAACCCCCCCCCCAAACCCCAAAAAGAAGAACCACCACAGCTGAAAAGAATCTTCAGTAGAAAACAAGCAGTCACGTTTTACAAAGACCTTCATTCACCAGAGGAGTGGCGCCGAGGAAAAACAGTCAAAAAAAAACTGAGTAAGGTGGTGAAAAAAAGAAGCAAAGAAAGGAAGAAAAAGGAAAAACGTCAGAGATTTTGCAACATGCACTGCAGCAATATCCACAGTGGACGCAGCAGCAGGCTCGTGGTCAGCCCCGGAACGTTTCGAAGGGAGCCGACTGGAGCTTGTTTGTGTTATTCCGCTGCCTCCAATAAGTGGCACTCTGTTCATCTCATATCGAAGAGGTCTGCCCTGTGGGAGGGAGGGAGAGAGAGCGAGGGAGAGAGATAGAGGGAGAGAGAGAGAGAGAAAGCGAGATTGTTGAGTAATAAGGAATGAAGCTGTGCGGTTGAGGGACATTTTCTTAATGCTTGGCTGCATTCAAAACTGAACCACCCACCCACACATGCCATATTATAACACAGCCTATCAGGAATATCTGTTTCTCATGTTAATGCAACCGTTGGTAGCGTTGCACCAGGGCTTAACATTAATTGAGCATCTCATCAGCCTATTAGACAACACTACTTTGATGATGCACAAGCACAGATGTCTTCAGATAAGAATACAAAGCCAGCCAATGGAGGTATACAGAGGGGTCAATGGCAAGCCTAGTGTACCAAGAGCTGTTTTATATGCTGTGGAGTAACTTTTGGGCTTGGAAACCTTTACTGAGGGACAACACAGACCTACAGAACATACTGAGCCACGAAAGCCAAAGAGGAGCTCCGTCACACGTCCAGATGGACATCACACCGCATGCATGCCCTGTTTACCTTCCAGGTAAAGCAAGTGGTGGCCCAGTGCAGTGCTGGAAGACTTGGCCAAAGACTATTTTTGGAAGATTCAGCTCAGCTACTGCAGTTAGACACCAGACAGTCACGGCCACACTGCACAGCACTGCCTCGCCGCACTGACAGAGCAGACACCCCAGCACAGTTAAGCAGCAGCCTAGGCAGTCAGATCCGGACTCAGCGGCGTTTTCCCTGCTTCTCTTTCTCTTCCAGCTCCATCAACAGCGAGCCGCTCTCCAACTCTGACGCCTGCGCGCGCAGCATTTTGCAGCGCAGCAACAGGAACCTCGAGCTCGCTGTCAATCAGCACGAGCCGAGCACGCTCCACTTTCACAAAGCATTAACTTTTTAGCACATAAAGACGAGCTGCTTACCGAGAGAGGGAGGACGGACTGACCGCGCTGAGGGCAGCTGCGCTGGAGTCCGCGTTAAAGCATCCTGCCTGTTTCTCCGCTGCTTCTCTCTCTCTCTCTCTCTCTCTCTCTCTCTCTCTCTCTCTCTCTCTCTCTCTCAACGTCATTCGCTCGAGCAGCGCTCTCTTCACTCTCCCTTCCGCGCGCTGGGCGCCAATTAAAGAGGAATTCCACCGATTTTTCAAACATAACTGCATAATTCAGCGGCTGAGAGGTAAACAAGGTACTCAGAGTGCTCTGATGTGACGAATTTACAGAGGAATTCACCTCCACGCTTAAAAAAAGATGGTTCTTCGAGGGTTCTTTAGTAAAGAACATGGTTCCATGTAGGACCATCAGCACTCAAAGAACCCTTTGCATGAATAAAGGGTTCTTTGCATCGTGAAAGGGTTCATCAGATTGATGGAGAGTGTGCTGTGGATGGTTCCATATAGGGAGGTTCTATATAACACCAAAAAGGGTTCTTCTATAGTTACGATATCAAGCCTATGACAATTGGAAGGACACTTTTCAAAAAGGTTCTATACAGAACCATAGGAAACACACTCTCAATCAACCTGAAGAACGTTTACGCAATGCAAAGAACCTTTAATCATGCAAAGGGTTCTTTGAGTGTTCATTGACATGTATAGAACCATTTTATTTACTAAAGAACCCTTGGATAACCAATTTTAAGAGTGTATGGTTCTGTATAGGTTCAAAAAAGTTGTTCTGTTGTCACAAGCTTGACATTGTAACAAGAGCAGAACCCTTTTTGGTGCTATACAGAATGATTTTTTTTTAAAAAAGGTTCTAAATAGAACCATATACAGCACATTCCTCATCAATCTGAAGAACACTTTAATGCTGCAAAGAAGCCTTAAATCATGCAAAGTGTTCTTGGTTCTAGATCCATTTTCTTTACTAAAGAACCTTTGATGAACCATAATTATAAGAGTGTATGGTTCTAAATAGCACCAAAAAGGGTTCTTCTGTTGTTACAAGCTTGACACTGTAACAGCAGCAGAACTTTTTGGTGCTATTTAGAACCATTTTCAAAAAAGTTCTACATAGAACCATATGAAACACACTTTCCGTCAATCTGAAGAACACTTTCATGATGCAAAGAACCCTTTAATCATGCAAAGGGTTCTTTGAGTGTTAATGGTTCTATATAGAACCATTTTCTTAACTAAGGAACCCATGAAGAACCATCACATTTAAGTGTGTATACAGGACATTCTCCATCAATCTGAAGAACCATTTCACAATGCAAAGGACCATTCTTTGAGGGTTCTTTGAGTGTTCATGGTTCTGTATAGACCCATTTTCTTTACTAAAGAACTCTTGGAGAACATTTTTTAAGTGTGTACCCAGTGTACACAGTCATTATAATGGCTGTGATAGGAACCTGGAGTCACAATGTCTATAACGCAGATAGAACCATCTCATTTACTGTCCAAAACTACTAGGGAACCTACAAGGTTTGTATAAGCTGTTGATAACGGTAAAATAGTGGTAATAAGTTTTTCACTCTTAAAAAAGATGGTTCTTTAAAGGTTCTTCAGTCCCTATCTACATAGAACCATAAACGCTCAAGGAACCATTTGCATGCTTAAACTGTTTTTCACATGGTGAAGTGGTTCTTCAGATTGATGGAGAATGTGTTGTATACATACTTAAAAGTGATGGTTCTTGAAGGGTTCTTAGTAAAGAAAATTGTTTCTATATAGAACCATTAATACCTAAAGAACTCTTTGCATGATTAAAGCGCTCTTAGCATCATGAAAGCATTCTTCAGATTGTTGGAGAGTGTGTTATAGATGGTTCTATATAGAACCTTTTTGAAAAGGGATCTATATAGCATCAAAAAGGGTTCTTCTGTGGTTACAGGCTTGACATCTTCACAAAAGAAGGACCCTTTTTGGTGCTATACAGAACCTTTTTCAAAAAGGTTTTATAAAGAACCATCTACAGCACAATCTTCATCACTCTGAAGAACGCTTTGAATGTAAGGAACCCTTTAATCATGCAAAGTGTTTTTTTTGAGTGTTCTTGGTTCTGTATAGAACCATTTTATTTATTAAAGAACCCTTGAAAACACATTTTAAGAGTGTATGGTTCTATATAGCACCAAAAAGGGTTCTTCTGTTGTTACAAGCTTGAGATTGTAACAATAGCAGAACCCTTTTTGGTGCTATACAGAACCATTTTTTAAAAGGTTCTACATAGAACCACATACAACACATTCTCTGTCAATCTGAAGAACTGTTTCATTGTGCAAACACCTATTTAAGCATGCAAGCACTCTTTGAGTGTTCATGGTTGTTTATAGAACCTTTGTCTTCTATATTGTCTTTACTGAAGAACCCTTGAAGAACCATCTTTTATAAGAGAGTAGTATTTTGCCAATACTCTGCAAACTATCCAACATGAGGCCAAAGTCTTATCTGAAGACAATGTCCCAGACAGCAGCCATATGACTTAATAACCTTCTGTGATGGAGCTTTTAGAGGCATTAATGCTTCAGACGTCTGGTTCCCTTCACCACCACTGTGAATAGGGAAGTTAACTCTGCAAATATTTCACATCAGACCGCTCTGAATGACTTTGTTTGCATCTGAAATACTCAGTTATGCGGACTTTGCAGAAAATGCAGAAGAATCAGCGGAATTCCTCATTTCTTTCATTGCATCTTTGTCCTCATAATCACTGTGGATTAGCACGAGGAATCACTTTGTTTCAAAGTCATGCTCCAGCAAATTTGATTCTGCTGAGAGATAAAATGTCTCTGCACATACTTTCAAACAGGCAGTTATCTCTCAAATCAAAGCTTCAAGTTCCGCTTTGAAATTTGGAAGCACTCTGCATCCCCCGAACCTGGAACGGACAGGTGAAAGCCAGAACACTGAAATCAATCACTCGACTCATTCTGTCTGTGTTTACAGTCAATCAAGCTCATTCAAGTAACCAAAAGGCAGATGAAGCCTGCTTTTGAGCCTTTTAAATGCAATCCTGTGGATGCATGCACTTTAATCAAAGCTCATACCTTTGCATTTGAAGAATGATTAATTAAAAAGCAGTGTAGGGTTAGTGTAGCTTTATTGATAGAAAAACAGTAGTACAGTTACATAACACACCTGATTTTTTATTTGAAATCACTGTATAGACAAATGTAGTTGTTGCTTAATTTAATTATTGCAGACAGTTACATTTCGCAGCTGTTGGGACAAAACCTCATATCTCCATTTTTCAGTTTTTGACATAATATAAAAAAGCCTGTTGCCCTTTACATTGCGTGTACATTTGATGATGAATGGACCAAAAGAAATGGCCAAAAAATGACTTGGAGTGTGTTGACTCCATTGCATTGACTTACATTAAAAGTAAAGAAGGTTTTTTCCTTCTCCTTTAAAGTTTTTTGGAGATATGATATGAATTGGATTGAATTGCCTTGTGATGGACTGGCGACCTGTCCAGGGTGTTTCCTGCCTTTCGCCCAATGAGCGCTCGGACAAGCTCCAGCACCCCTCATGACCCAGGAGAATGAGCGGCTTAAATAATGTGTCTGTGTGTGTGAATTGAACTGAACTGAATTGAGTTTAGTTGAGTTGAGTTGAATTGCTGCAGAAGGCTTAGCCATGGTGCAGAGAGCAGGTAACTGTAATAGTTTCCCATTTTTTAAATTCTAGTCATTTATGCAAATGTTAGCAACTACTTTATCCATTCTTGTTCGTTAGGCTGTTGTGACTCTTTTGATCCAAAATAAGCATTTTCTGATGAGCTGATTTTAAGAATAAAAACATTTTGGTGGCCTGTTAAAGAAAGGGTTTAGCAAAAAATCTACATTTACAAAATTTTCCACTTACCCCAGATGTAGCTGATTGGCCGAGACATGTTTGGAGCCCAATTTTGCACCTTTAATTTACAAGTGGAGTGTTGATTCTTAAATTGCTAGCAAACACTAGAACTCAGTAGTCACCCAAATAGCCCAAATCGGTTCTGTAAAAATACATCCCCAAAACTGCTTTCAAACCACATTCAGGTCTTCATTAACGTCACACAGTGGTTTAGGAGACAGCATGACTTACTATGAGCTATAACAATGAACAAAACTGTGGGCAGATCCTTTTAGTCTTGTCTGATATGGCTGCCTGTAGTGGCAGTCATTATGCTATAAACTTATTGTGCCACATTAGTGAAGACCTGGATGCGGTTTGAGAGAAGGGTCGAGAGAAGTTTTGGGGCTGTATTTTTACAGAAATGATTTGGGCTATTTAGTGACTAGTGTTTGTTAGCAACCTTAGCCTCATAACTCCAGTTCTAAACAAAAGAGGCAAAATTTGGACTCCAAACATGCCTTGGCTGATCGACTACATCTGGGATGAGTGGTAAATTGTGTAAATTTGATTTTTCACCAAACTATTTCTTTAAGGCAGTTGCTAGGACTTGCTGCACAGGCCTCTGTTGATGCACCAGGAGATGGGGAGGGGCTAAGTGGATGGCTCAAGGCAGCATGCCCACTTATACAGACAGGAACTGTAGCACATTTTGTTCCATTGTCTTAAACAAGGATGTGCCGGCTTGGTTTCCCTCATATATAAACTTTGCCATGGCCAGTTTAGCGTGCAGTAGATATCAGATGCTCCATTTACGTTATGAGGCTGAGACTAAAGCAGGGAAAAATACCTGTGTCCCACACTGCTCCATATACTCTTCCTTCTTAGGTCATTTAAGGTAAATAATTCACAAATAACACTTTGTCATTTAAGTCATTACAATTATATTGCATCCATGGACTGTCTGCTGTCAAATTCATACTGCAGCATATTGCCAGACATTCTCATTCTTTGCATTAGGTCTAGAAAGTTGAACTAGGTTTAACTGAGTGAAAACCAATAACAGAAATGAAGTTCTTTTTGCTTACAGGGCACTGCAAGTTAACCAAAGGCAAAAAAAGACCCATGCAAACTGCTGCCCTTAATTATTTACGTAGGCGGAACACTTTTTCTTCACAGTGATGCCCAGACAAACTCGTAATGAGTAGGTGTCGTCCTCCTGCTTAGCTCTAAAAGCC